AGTGTATTCGCGACTGACGGTGGAGCGTGTGGTCGTAATAAAAGAAAATCGAAAGCGGGAGTCGCTCGATGTAAAAGAGCGCGCACCCCAACGGAAGTATAGAAAAGGAAGATGGGAGTCGCTCGATGTAAGCGAGCGCGCATCCCGAAGAGAGTATTGTTAAGGAAGACGGGAGTCGCTCGATGTAAGCGAGCGCGCACCCCGAAGAGAGTATTGTTAAGGAAGACGGGAGTCGCTCGATGTAAGCGAGCGCGCACCCCGATGAAGGTAGCGTAAGGAAGACGGAAGTCGCTCGATGTAAGCGAGCGCGCACCCCGATGAAGGTAGCGTAAGGAAGACGGGAGTCGCTCGATGTAAGCGAGCGCGCACCCCGAAGAGAGTATTGTTAAGGATTATCTAGCGGCGCTCCGAATGCAACCCACACGCACCGGTATCGCAAATACACTCGATATATATATATAGAAAAAAAAGAAAGATAGAAAAGAAATGTATTTCACCTTTATTGATTGGCGTAAGAGAAAAATCCTCGACAATTCGCTACTCGGAGATCACTGCGTCGGAAACACCCTGGAATATACACAATTAGCGAGACCCGACTTTCGAAAGCCTTGTTTAAATGTAAAGGAGAGTTACCGTTTGATTATGCTCTTTCGCGTATAACGACTGTATAGCGACGTATAAAGACTGTACCGACTACACGACTAATCGTCTCGGCTTTCGAAAATCGAATCACACCCGGGCTCCAAAATCGCCCGAATATATACCCCTGATTTGAAGGTGGAGAGGGTATTTTCGTCGCAATCTCCGAGAAATTATTCCGCACAAACACTTCGCGGAATATTACAATAATTATTATTCGCACGTTGTGCATAATAGAAATACAAAAGAATAATTGAAATTAAATCTCTGGATTATCAGAGAATAAAGGGACTTGTTTGTCGGTAGTCACGCGTGTACCGAGTGGAGCGAGCGCGCGCCCCGGCTGACGCGCATTCCGTCAGGTGTGCTGGCACTCGGGCGGTTGCAACGGCGTGCCATTAATATGATACAAGAACTAATAGATTGATGAGTTTATAGAATATTGTGACTTAATGCACGCCGGACGTAACATACCGGTGAAATAACTGTTCTCCACAACATTGTACAAAGACATGATAAAATTTTTTTTGTTGGATACTCTTTTACAAAAATGGAAAATGTCTATGAGTATCCTCTACCCTCATCAGAATTAGGCATTGTACGAGTATCAGATTTAAGTGAAGAAAGACGTGTTTTTCCTCTTGTCCAAGTTGTTGCTAAATGTTGGCTTATACCTAATGGAGAGTTTTTTTTATGTTTTCCATTGCTTCACACTATGCCTCTTCTCAAAATTTTTCTTTATTTCCTTATTATGGCATCTATATATTTGGTAAGCACTAATATGAGTTATTGATATTCTTATTTTTTAATTCGATTATTGATAGAATTCTCATCGAGATGATTTATGTTTTATTTTATTTTTTCTTTCTTTGTATTTGCATGTGTTAATAAATTGAGTTATTATGTAGCAAAATTGTTTTTTAGTTAGAATAAGTGTGATGCAGAGTACAAGTTTTTTTATATTACATATAATTTGGATAATATAAAAAAATTTATACTTATTCTAAATAAAAAAACAATAAAGTTACGTGTATATATGCTGTTTGTGATTCTAAATTTTAAATTAGAATAGTTAAATTATTAATGAGAACAACTTAGTGCTTTTGTGATAATTGTCAGGGTATTTTTGAATTTTTAGTGATGATCGTTTCGTGAAGACCATGTTTCCATACAGTTTTCAGTTGTTTTTTCTTAATTGTGACTTCAATTCTGCCATTTTTTTTGCAGTTTCTAGTGTTAAAATTTTATAACACATGAAGGAAAGAGACTATCTCCTGATGACGATGTGTTCTACGCTATTGGTCTTACCCGATGGTTTACAAGTGAATTAGATGAAAACATGGAAGTGCAGATCAAATGGCCTCCTAAATTTGTGGATGCAGGAAGTTTAGTAAGAAAGGAGAAACCACCTGATCCAAATTGGGGAGAAGAAATTGTTTTGGTTAAGAGATTTTATGGTAAGTAATTATTTATGAATAAAGCGCGAAAGAGATGTTAATATTCTTGTGGCATAAATTTGAATTAGTTTACTATTTGTTTAGTTACTGTTTGTTAAACTCTGATATTTGTTACAGATTTATATGACAAGACTATTGCTTCATGCAAGGGATATGTGGAAGATTCCAATTATGAAACAGACCATCGTGAATTAGGTAGAGGACACAGAGTAAAAAAGAGAGTACAACGTTTAGACTCTGAGTCTGAAAATGAATCGGACTTTGGATCACAAAATTCTACAGTAAAAAAGGCAAAGACCTGTCCAACTAACAAGAGTTTTTCAAAATTAAAGAAAACAGTACCAGCACCTCCTTCAGTTCCTTTTGCACGACGAAATTTTGTTGTATCTCCACAGGAGTTAATGCGGCAGCAAACTCCCCAGCTAGAGAAACAATTATCTAAAAAGATAAATATTTGCAAAGGTTCTCGAAACAGTAATAAAAATCAAGCGATGAAACGTATCCTTAACATGAGGGAAAAAATGCAGGAAAAAAAAGAAAATACTGTGCTTTCTGAAAAACTTCGTCAATTATTATCAAATAAGAAACTTCAAAAACCTTGCAAAGGTAAAGCATCCTTGCATCAAGATAAAGAAACACTTAAAGATGTGGACGATTGTGGTTTATTGGATGAAAATCAGAGAATGGATCAAAGTTTTGAAGAACTTGTTGAAAATGTTACGGAATCAACAACTTCAGAGAAGCCAATTATTTCTGAACTCTGCTCATCCTCTAGTTCCAAAGTTGTTTTGTCTAGCTCATCGGAAGAGGATTTTGTTTGTAAGTCACCAAATGAATCAAAGGAAAGTAATACTTTGTCAAGTCAATCTTCTTCTGCTGTAGGCAAAAGTTCATCTTTTGTAAAATCTCATTATAATGATAGCTGTCTTCAAACTAAGAAATCTGAAAGCAATAATTTATCTGACAACAAGGAAGCAAGTAAGAAAGTAAATTAAGAAAAAATTGGTTATTGTTATGAATATAAATTTGATTTATATATATATTTTAATTTGCAGATATCTCTCTTGTACATGTCATCAAAACATATCATAATGAAATAAAAAAGAATTAAAAGAATTAAATA